GTTAAATAAGACAAATATCATTTATGTATTTAATCCCATTTATTAACCTATGTCTTTACTACTGACCTTCGATGATCCAATTCAACCATACTAAAGCAAAAATGACACATTTGTGTTATTGCTGAATAGTGTTGAACTTTCTTCTCCTGCATCATATTCTTCATGCAATTCGTTTGAGCGGCGCCCTCTACTGTACAGACGTGAATTTACATTTCCTTCAGCCTAAGGCTCATTCATTTCACTTTTGTTGTGAAAGGGCTTTTACATTTGTAAAAGAACACCTTTTTTATATTAAAAACAAACAAGTAAGCCCAGCGCAGATTTAAAAAGTAACGCAAAAGTAACGTAACGCATTACAAGTAACTAAGTAACGTAATTAGTTACTACTTTAGGGAGTAACGCAATATTGTAATGCATTACTTTTAAAAGTAACTTTCCCCAACACTGGTAGTTAATAACCTTGTTTGTGTGTGTGTGTGTGTGTGTGTGTGTGTGTACCAGCAGCGGTTCCCGTGACGATCGAGGCGATTCCAGATGCCTGCGGTCCACGGAAACCTTCGGTGGCTCGTGGTTGGTTGCTGATCCTCAGCTTTAACTCCGCCTTCTCTGACTCCAGCTGATCGATGTCGGCCTGCAGCGCATCCATCGTCTCCTCAAACTCCCTGCAGACAGCGAACAGCACTCATTAAACGCTTTAAATGAGGAGCGTTTCACACCTGGCTCATCTGATATCAGCAGAGAGACTCGTACTTCTCCTTCTTCTTCAGCAGAGTCAGAGCCTCGTCTAGTTTGGTCTGGATCTTCTCCACTCGCTCGTCTGCGTCTCTCGTCGACGTGTCTAGCTTCTTCTCCAGTAAACTCAGACGAACATTCGCCTCGCTCAGCTCCTCACCCTGAGAGATTGTCACATACAGATTTCAGATTTTAATATATATATGACGTTCTGTACCCGCAGTATATGTACATATTTATTTGTTTCTAATGTGTCACATAAAGACGGAAGCGATAAGTTTTCTGCGATCTGACCTTGATCTTGAGGGATTTCTTCAGCTCTTTGATGACCGTCTCTCGGTCCTCCAGCTTGTTTCCCAGACCCTCTGCGTCGGTCATCTCGGCTCTGACAGCATCGGCGCGGATCTCCACCGGCGGACGCTGCACAGACGACACACAGCGCATCAGACAGAGCAGCGGCATCATGGGATTGAGCGATCGTTAGCGTCAGTGTGTGTGTGTGTACCGGACGCTGCGGCCGCTCCGCGTCGTATTCTCCCTCCTGCATGGCGGTGGACATCTTGTTCATGGTGGCTATGACGGCGGCGCAGGACTGACGCAGACACTCGAACGCATTGAGTCCATGAGCACCATACACCTGCCCTCACACACACACACACACACACACACACACACACACTTAACGTAGTTGCATATTGAAAGTAAAAGTACAAGAAAATGCTAAATGGAAAAAGGAGCAAATAAATAGATGTAAAAAAAATGTTTACATAGTTTTAGTAGCAAGATTGTGTTCAGTTACATTTACATTTAGTAGGTGCTTTTATCCCAAAGCGACTTACAAATGAGGACAATAGAAGCAATCAAAATCAACAAGAGAGCAATGATACACAAGCGCTATAACAAGTCTCAGTTAGCTTAACACAGTACACGTAGCAAGGTTTTTTTTACATTATATAATAAATAAAAACAAAACAGAATAGAAAAAGAATAGAGCAAACTAGTGTTAGAGGCCTTTCTTGCTTTTGTTAATTGTATAATAAATAAAAAGAAAAGAAATGGATAGAATACAAAAAGAATAGAGAAGCTAGTGTTAGTTTATTTTTAAAGAAAACAAGCAGTTAGTAAATAGAGTGCAAGTCTAAAAGGGGCACGTTTTTTTATATAAGAATAGAATTAGAATAGAAAGTGTTAGAGTTAGAGGGTCAACTACAGGTGGAACAGATGTGTTTTTAGTCGTTTCTTGAAGATGGCTAAGCTCTCAGCTGCTGGGACTGAGTTGGGCAGGTCACTCCACCAGGAGGGAACAGTTAATGTAAAAGCCTGTGAAAGTGATTTTGTGCCTCTTTGAGATGAACAATAAACCGTTGTTCACTTGCAGAACGCAAGCTTCTAGAGGCACATAACTCTGAAGTAATGAATTTAGGTAAAGTGGTGCAGAGCCAGTGGTGGTTTTGTAGGCAAACATTAATGCCTTGAATTGTATGCGAGCAGCTAAAAGTTAAAAGCAGTTTTAACTCTTTCTTCCAATTTGTATCTTTGGGTAAGAATAAGAAGCACTTCATCTGGTACTTAGTCTCTTTCATTCCAACTAGGGCTGTGACGATAAATCGATGCAGAATCGATTCGTGGACTGATTCTGAGATCTTGCGCATACATCACGATTCTCTCTGGAATGGATTCTGAGCTTATATTTTAACAGCAGATGGCACTCTACTCTAGTTTTTATTTAAGTTATTTTTTTTTTCCTCATTAATGTACACACAGCACCCCATATTGACAGAAAAACACAGAATTGTTGACATTTTTGCAGATTTATTAAAAAAGAAAAACTGAAATATCACATGGTCCTAAGTATTCAGACCCTTTGCTGTGACACTCATATATTTAACTCAGGTGCTGTCCATTTCTTCTGATCATCCTTGAGATGGTTCTACACCTTCATTTGAGTCCAGCTGTGTTTG